AGAAGAAGGAAGAAGGAGAAAGGAAGAGAAAGAAAGAAAGAAGAAGAGAAAGAAAGAAAGAAAGAAAGAAAGAAAGAAGAAAGAAAGAAAAGAAAGAAGAAAGAAGAAAGAAGAAAGAAAGAAAGAAAGAAGGAAGGACGGAAGATGGAAGGAAAGAAGGAAGGAAGGAAGAAGAAGGAAGGCGAAGAGAAGAAAAGAAACCGGGGAGAAGGAGAGAGGAGAGGGAGGGAAAGGAAAGACAAGGAAGAAGGAAAGAAAAGAAAGAAAGAGAGAGAGAAAGAAAGAAGGAAGGAAGGAAGGAAGGAAGGAAGGAAGGGAAGAAGGACAGAAGGAGGAGAAGGAAGGAAGGAAGGAGGAAGGAAGGAAAGGAAGCAAGAAGGAAGAAAGGAAAGGAAGGAAGGAAAGAAACGGAGGAGAAAGGACGGAAGGAAGGAAAGAAGAAGGAGAGGAAGGAAAGAGGAAGGGAAAACAGGAAGGAAGGAAAGGCAAGAAGAAGGAAAGAAGGAAGGGCAAGGAAGCGCAGCCGAAGGAGAGCCACGACAACCAGCAGGCAGGCAGGAAGGAGGAAGGAACGAAGGCAAGGAAGGAAGGAAGGAAGAGAAAGAAAGAAAGACAGACCAGACAGACAGACAGAAAGAAAAGAAAGAAAGAAGAAAGAAAGGGAAAGGAAAGACAAGAAAGAAAGCATGCAGTGGAACCGAGGAGCTTACATGAAAACTGTACACAAAGTACCTTCAAGGAAACACGTCACAGTCAAGGCATGACAAACATGATGTTTGTCACACACTACTGTCAGAAAATGCCACTGGTCATCTCTAAGTCTAGAGGTAGTACCTCCAATGTCCTGATGTCATATGCTTTACACCCACTCATCCTCTTTAGCACCTGTTTACTTCCATAGGTATCTCAGTTTTCCCCTCTACACAGCTAAAATCAAGTCTATTTCTCCATCTTCAACTTTCCCCTGAGCTACAACACTGATTCTCAAACTGCTCATTAGATAATTCCATCTGGATTCCACAGTAGTATTTCAAACTCAACGTAAAGGTCAATTCCTCATCTTCCTAAAATAATGTTCCTCAACCACATCTGACTATTTCTGTTGCCAGTGTCTTGATTTTCAGTTACCACTTCTTTCTTACTCCAATATTCATTTGATTTTAAAGTCAAACAATTGAAGCAACACCCTGTCTTTCATGTCTATCCTTTTTGTTCCTTCTAATCATGATTGGTAATTCTGGTTCTTTTTCTCTCCTATCTACCTGTTTCCTTTATAATCCTCCCTGAATACTACTGCAAGGTAACAATTTTAAGGCAGGAGATGACAATGCTCAACACTCTTGCTCAAAAACCAACAAAATACATTCATTTTGTCATGGCACTTGATGTCCGCCACAATCTGTCTCTAATCGTTTTCCTATCTTGCATTCCTCCACATGCCTTATGTGTATGTCCCCATGTAGCAAAACTACACGAATAGTATTCTCCCTACTGCTTTATTCTTTTCCACCTCAGTGCCTCTTCCTGGTGATAGTTTCTTTTGAATGGATAGTTCCCCTTCTTCAAAGCCCATTTCCTCCAGGAAGTCTTTGTCATTCATCTGAAAAACAAATTTTTTCCCTTACTTCAAATTCAGTAATACCTTGTTTCTTACTTAACAGAGTGGTTAATAAAATTTACTTTGCAGGCAGATTAACTGGAATCTAATGCTAGCTCAGCCATCCATGACCTCACCACGAGCAAGAATCTTCATCTCAATAAGCTGAGGTTTCTTCATCTGCAAAATGGGAATAATAAATAGTACTTGCGACTTAAGGATTGTTGTGAGAGGTCAATATGCCAGCAACTGTTAAGCACACTATAAAATCTGGCTATCATGATCATCTTCATTATTATTCCCTGTTCCTTCTGAGGGTATCATAAACATAACATTGAAACCAGAGGAAACTAAAAAGTTTGGTACTATACTTTGCCACTTTCTACCAGCACCTACTAGAATATCTGGCACACAGCAGTTCAGTAAGTATTTGTTGAAATTATCCATAAATGAATGAGTCCATAAACACGAAATCAATAAGTACATATAAAAGTCAGTCTTAAGTTTTTGGTTAAAAATATTGCTATATATAAAACAGATAAAGGAAATACAGATTAAAAGGGTAGGGAGGGTAGGGAAGAAATTTCCCACGCCAGTATCATAAACTGACTGCCAAAAAAGGGTATAAAACTGTATAAATATAGTTTATAGATTTGGGGAGGTAGGAGACTCATAGTGGTGCTCTGTGGAGGACCATATTTTATATGTCACCTTGATTAAATAGCATGTGTCAAGAAGAGAATGAGCAGAATGGTTAAGGGTTTAGAAAGAAGGCCAAATAAGAAACTCCTCAACAAAGGAAATCGAATATTTAACCTAAGAAGAGAAAACCTTAAGTAGGGATAGAATCATTCCTGTAAAATATATGAAAAGTTAACACTCGGTAAAGAGAGTAGCTGACGTCTGTGTGGCTTCACAAGACTTAACGAAAAATGTAAAAGGAAGAACATTTTGACTCAATACGATAGAACGCTATTAAACCTGCCCAGGAACATACCCAGCTGCTGTTACAGAGTAGTGAGTTCCAAATAAACATAAGCATTCAAGTAGAAAATAGTATCTGCCAGAGATGCTAGAATATTTAAAACTATACATATTGTCGTAATATTACATAGCTGAGTTCACACACATTAAAAGAAAGAGATACTGATACACACTATTACAGTGGGCTTAGGGAATATTTATATATACATAATGATCCATATATACATATATAAAGTACTCGTCTGACATATTTGTGAAAATTTGTCACTGAATGATAAAAACTGAATTTACAGTGTGATAGCAAATAACTAGATTACATATACCAGTTAAATCTAACAATCAAAAGTGAAAGTTGCTATTATAGGGACAAAGGTTGTTCTAAGTGATTTTATGATTTTTAAAATTTGTTTTTAGTCCTACAAATCATGTTTTAATATTTAATATAATTTAATATAATTTAATTCAATATATTTAATTTAATATTTAATATATTTCTTACATTAAGAATACTTAATTATCAATACTTTTCTATAAGTTTACAAGATTTTCATTTAAAAAAAGAGCAAAAGAAAAAGGAAGAGGGAGAGAAACAAACGGAGCTAGTCAAAAATAAAAATCTACTGTGTTCAATTATTTCAATAAACCTACAGAAACCATCTTTTATCACATGTAAAAGATGCTTTCCATGTCTTTGTTATAGGTACGCCACATGATATAGAAAATATCCAATAGTTTAAGTTAATACAATTCCATTTGATTTTGGGTCTATATACGTTTCAAATTGACTAAATGTCACCTTAAATAACCCTTCTACTCAAAAAAGTTGGCTAAGTCAGTTGACGCTTTCCATTAAATGGACAAATTTTATGATATGCAGATTTCCAGTTGAGCCATTGCTTTAAAATAAATTCCTTACTTCTTATGGGATTTTTTTTTTTTTTAATTCCCAAGGAACTTAAGGTTTCATGAATTAATCTCAATACAACCACTATTACAGAGAGAAACAGTTGAAATAACATGCAGTGATGGCATTACATGCAGTTGAAATTACATGCAGTGTCACTCTGAGACAACTGCAATAACTGATTTTACTTCTAATAAGTATCAGTAAGTGATATGTACTACTGAAAAAGAAAAATTATGGTACTAGCATTCTCTTAAAATTTCAGATATGTTAAGATATCTTAAGAAGGAGAGAATGTGGCTCACGCCTGTAATCCCAGCACTCTGGGAGGCCGAGGCAGGTGGATCATCTGAGGTCAGGAGTTCGAGACCAGCCTGGCCAACATGGCGAAACCCTGTCTCTACTAAAATTACAAAAATTAGCCAGGTGTCGTGACAGGTGCCTGTAATCCCAGCTGCTCAGGAGGCTGAGGCAGGAGAACTGCTTGAACCCAGGAGGTGAGGTTGCAGTGAGCTGAGATCATACCACTGCACTACAGTCTGGGCGACAGAAAAAAAAAAAAAAAAGGACAACGTGGAATAGAAAACTTCAAATAAATCTCAAAAAATGTACTAAGTAATTTTACCATAAGCAGGGATCTAATATTAAAAAATACTTTTCATAGTATAAAGGGCTCATTCTTTCAGAAAAACTTATATCAGCTCTTATCATTGTAATTTAAATTACATTTGAAATTTCTAAAATGATTTGCAAATATATGAAACTTCAGATCCATCCTTTGAATATACTAAAGCTTTAAACAATTTTCCCCAATGTTCCTTATATATACATTTGCACTGACCCATTTCTTTCTGTGACAACACTACTTAGAATTTATACATAATATTGGCTTAAGAAATATGTATGGTGAGCAACTAAATTAATACTATTATTGTAAAATATAAAAGAAATTGACCAAAACCTAATTAATTAATGAGAATAAAATTTCTATATGAGGGCGGATCTTTCTGCAGCACAATTATTAGAAAAATGCCTAATACAAAGTAAGTGCTTGTATTAGTACGTTTTCATACTGCTATAAAGAATTGCCCAAGACTGGGTAATTTATAAAAGAAGGAGATTTTATTTTATTTATTTTTGAGACAGAATCTCGCTCTGTTGCCCAGGCTGGTGTGCAGTGGCTTGATCTCGGCTCACTGCAACCTCCGCCTCCCGGGTTCAAGTGATTCTCCTGCCTCAGCCTCCCAAGTAGCTGGGACTACAGGCACCCACCACCACGCCCGGCTAATTTTTTTGTATTTTTAGTAGAGATGGGGTTTCACTGTGTAAGCCAGGATGGTCTTGATCTCCTGAACTTGTGATCCTCCCGCCTCAGCCTCCCAAAGTGCTGGGATTAGAGGTGTGAGCCACCACACCCAGCCAAAAGAAGGAGATTTAAGTGACTCATGGTTCAGCATCTCTGGGGAAACTTACAATCATGAGGGAAGGTGAAGGGGAAGCAAGTCACCTTCTTCACAAGGTAGCAGGTAGGAGAAATGCCCAGCGAAGGGGGAAGAGCACTTCATAAACCATAAGATCTTGTGAGAACTCCCTCACTGTCATGAGAACAGCATAAGGGAAACAGCCCCCATGATTCAGTTACCTCCACCTGGTCTCTCCCTTGACATGTGGGGATTATGGGGATTACAATTGGAGATGAGATTTGGGTGGGGACACAAAGCCTAACCATATCAGTGCACAATAACTATTTCCTGCATAAAGTGAATGAAAAACACTTAATTTCTGTTTTATAAAAACCTTGCTGGAAAATGCAGAACTTCCCATGCTTGAAAGAGGATCTCACAGACCCAATTTTGGGGTCAAAGTTTTGCATGTAAAATGTTTGTTTTGTTTTCTAATAATTCTGCTAATAGTGTAAATTATAATTAATTTCCATGTTGTTTAAAGTTAAACAGTTTGTAATGTGGAATTCATATAAACAACGCACCTTTGCCTTTTACATGAAAAGCAAATTAAAATCTCATCCACTACGTTTTAAAGAAAATCAAAATCTAACACTTGACAGTAATCAGTATAAGCTTCCTTTGACCACAGCAAAGAAAAAAATTCTAATCATGAACAATTTCACTCCATATCCAAGACAAAAGTCAAGCATATTATTGCATGACTGGAAGCCATTTCATAAATTTCTCGCACAAAAAAGGATTCCTGGTATAATACAGTTTCTCGCAATTTCAGCTCCTCCAACATGAAGAGAGATTACGATGATATATACAAAAAGGACCCAGCCTAATATTGGGAGAAATTCGAAGTGTACGACCCCAATACCGTCAAGCATTCCCCTCAAATAAAAACAGACTGATGAAATACTGGCATATCACATACGAAATAAACGATAATTTCATTCTATGTTTCTTTCTCAGAGTCATTGTCCAGGCGGAAAATAGCAAGAATAAATATTTCTTGCGTAGTGTTATCAATTCCTGACATGAATCCCAAACCACATTCACACTCAGTCCAAACCACTACTGTGA